GAATCCCTTTTGGTTTTAAATATCCATTTGCAACCAATGGGTTTCTTTCCTTCAGGTAATTGAACAAGATCCCAGAACAAGATCCCAAACTTGATTGGTCTTGCCATAGACTTTAACTCTTCCGTTCATGTGCTCTCAATACCACTTATGTAGAACAGTCCAGAACTCCTGGCTGGCATAATAAGAAACTACTGGATCATCATCTATCATGTCTACATGTATCCCTCATGTTTCCTGAAGAAACACTATATAATCCATCTGGCACTTCTTCTCTCCCTAGTAGATCTCCTCAAAGGCATTTGAACAGACTCTAATTCTTGAGGTTGTTGAATTTGTTCTTAAGGAAGAATAGCATTGTCTGGAATTGGATCTTGAATAGTGACAGGAGCAACTGGAGTCTGTACGCTATCAGAAACAACAAAAGGAAACAAAAGGAATGAGAACCGAATCATCCTTACTTGGTTCCTCTTCAAAGACAATGTTTCTTTCTTTATTTCTCCCTCCAAAATCAACATCCAACAAGCCAGGGCTAAAAGGTTAACAATCTTGTTAGCGAATGTAATACCTTGGTAGCAGTGAAGATGATGAAGGGGGACATAAAACCTCCTAGCATTGTTCGCTCTTTGATTTAGCAGATTAAGACGATTTCATCGGAATGTTCAAATCTGCCGCATGCTTCGTAAAGCTAACTTTTGTGCTGATTCTTGGTAGGCAAATTTGTTCCTTCATGATCATATTGTTCGGTGGTTAATTCATTATTCTTATGGGACAATTAATCAAGATGGTGCAATAGTTAGTATTTTTCTCTTCCTATTGTATCAAAAAACCAAAAAAAAAAAAAAAAAAAAAAAAGAATGACTAATCAATACTCCTACCATATCCATACATAAGAGTCCTATTACGTCTCTCAGATACACCATTCATGCTGGGAGTACCAGGCATTGTATATCAATTCCACATTCCTGTAGGAAAAGCGCAAAAGGTCCTGGACGTTGTTCGCCTGAACCGTCATATTTACCATAATATTCACCACCACGGTCAGATCGAAAAGATTTAATCTTCTTTCCTAGTTGATTTTCAACTTCAGCTTTATAAGATTTGAACACTTCCAAAGACTCAGATTTTTCATGAATGAGATATAAGTAACTATAACGAGAATAGTCATCAATGAATGATATAAAATATCTATCTTTGGCCATTTCTAGCTGCAATATGGAATGGACCGCAAATATCTGTATGAATCAGTTCTAAAACATTGGATGACCGAATGGCACCTAGTCTCTTCTGTTTAGTCTGTTTTCCTTTAATACACTCAATACAAGAATCCAAACCTGTGTAATCAAGTGTATCTAAGATACCATCAGAAACAAGACGCTCAATCCTTGATTTGGATACATGACCCAAACGTCTATGCCAAAGTACAACTGAGTTATCAATATTCAATTTTCTTTTGGCTTTCTTTTGGTACCTCTTGTAGTAACATGTAGGGATTCATGATAACTAGTATCAATGTCTAACATATATAGATTATCACATTCATTCAAGCAACCAGTACTCAAAACTTTTGAATTCATAGATAAAGTGTTTTCTCTCACTCAAGTAAGTCCACTTATAATCCCATTCTACCCCAACCGGGTTTGGTTCAACTCGACTCGACTCGACTCGACTCTAAGACTCGACTCGGTAGGATGTCACAGTATCGTTTATAATTTATTTAAACATAATCTAAAATGTCCAATTGCCTCTACTTCAACCGGATCGCCATTTCCTACATTCTTTCACCGTCAGTTGGCTTTCTGTAGTTAAGGCAGCCCTGCAATGAAACACTTATATGAGCGGTAGCACCAGAATCCATCCAATAAGTGTTTTTAGGAGCTGAAGTTAAATTAACTTCATAACAGACTAAAACAAGGTACTTGCCCCACAAGGTACTTACCCCTCTTTGCAAGCCAATTAGCAAATTTAGGACAGTCCTTTCTCAAGTGATCCGTCTTTCCACAAAAGAAGCATTTTGGCACATAAGGCTTCTTTTGTACTGGATCTACAGCAGTAGCAACAGCAGGTTTCTCAATAGCCTTTTCAACAGTCTTTGCAGAAGGCCTCTTTCTTTTCTTGTTCTTGCCCTTCTCAGCTGAAGAAACAAAATGAGCACTCTCTCTTTTGTTAGAATTCATCTTTTCCTCCTCATCAACACAATGAGAAATGAGCTCGTTAAGAGTCCATTCGGCTGACAATTATAGGAAGTCCTAATTTGTCCATACTGAGAAGGAAGAGAATTCATAACCAAATGGACTAAAAGGTCATCTGGTAAAGCCATACCCAGCACCTTCAGTCTCTTTGCAATCTGAGACATGCTAAGAATATGCTCCCGAGCACCACCATTGCCAGCAAACTTCATGGAGGTTAATTTTCCTAAAAGTGTTCTCACTTCGGCTTTGTCATTCTTGACATAAGCCCTCTCCAGCTCGGCAAGATAGTTTTGAGCATTGTTCTTTTCAGCTGAGACAGAGTCTCGAACGAACTGTTCTGGACTCCTTTCTGCCATGATCATAGACCTAAGCGATTAGACGCTCCCACTTCCTCATTACTGAACCCTTTGAATCATCAGTGCTCGTATCAGTAAGAGGAGAAGAGGAGCAGGTTCGTCCATCCTGAATGCAAGATCCAAATCCATACAGCCCAGAAAGATCATAATGTCTGATTTCCAAGACTCAAAATTTGATCCCTTAAGTTTAGGGACACAATCAGGATTAAATGACATGTTAGCTGACATCAGAGAAAATAAACAAATAGATAAGTATAAGCTCACAATTCACAAATGAAACAATTCACATAAGTAGAGATAAAAATGGAAATAAGATACAGACTCAACATTAATATTCTCATCTTTGGATGTAAAATATTCACTTGTAATTAGTATCTCAACGCAGCAATCAAATATTGATAACATAGTCCTGACAAATAATAAATCTTCCTTTGGACCGATATATCATTGTCATGGAAAATAATCAAACAATTATCACATACTTATTGAAACCATGTATTCAAACACTCAGCCAAGAGTTAGCAACCTTCCTTGGGGCCGATTAACTATCCGCAACCGATTCTAATACCACCTGTCTAATATTCTAAAATAAATCCAATTTCAAGAAATAGAGTTCACTTTGGTGACTTATTGAATCAAATTCAATTTATTTTAAAAATATCAACAGAATAGGGACTAATCACTCCAAAATTTAATCTGCAAGTCGACAAGAATTAAATCATTAAATTGTAATTAAAACAAAACATTGCAATTAAATGAATTGGAATTGTCTAAATTATTTAATAATCTAAAATTATAGTCCAAAAAAAAATTATTAATCTAGTCTTAGATCACTAAATTTAGAGACTAAAATTATATAAAATAGGACTAAATATAATAATAAATAAAAGTTCAGGTCTACATCGAAAGAAAAACAGAAAATGGAAAGCCTAAATTGGAGTACAGAAAATTTAGCTAATCTGAATTACAGAAAATTTAGGGCCTTAATCTGAAATTACAGAAAATTTAGACCTAATCTGAAGTACAGAAAATTAGGACCTATCTGAAGTTACAGAAAATTAAAAGACCTAAGTCTGAAGTACAGAAAATTAAGACCAATTATGAAATTACAGAAAAAATTAAGGACTAATATGAAATTTTCCAGGGACCTAAACTGTTTATTTCTCCATCCCTAACCTAAAAACAAAACGATAAGGGACGGAAAAATAACAGGTTCCAGCCCCTTTCCCCGCCAACAATGGAGGTTTTTTTTTTTTTTTTTTTTTAACAAGATCCAGCCAGCAAGAAAAAAAAAAAAATACCAATACGAACAATTAATCTTAATGGCTGTTAGTTTTCAAAACTCTTACCTGTCTTGGGAATCCGAAAGAAGAACAGTGAGAACAAAAAAATATATATAACCATTTTTTTTTTTTTATACAAAACCCTCATCTAATAAACAGAAGGGTAAACAAATAAATAAAAAAAAAAATTACGAAAAACCAATCTAAAATCTAGCAATTATGCACAAGGGCTCTGATTACTACTGCTTATGAATTAAACTCAAATAATTCATAATAACCCTTAGAGGCGTGGCAAACCATCTGATTCATACCAAAATAGATTTAATAAGAAAGGTTGCGTATCCTGACTCGTTGTTTCGCGAATTCTTGATGTTTATAGAAATTAGGGTTGCCAGCCTTCCAGAGGATTGAAGAATCGATATTGCGGAAACAGTACGAAAGGAAAACGTAAAACTGAATCGTATTCAAAACTCCTCTGGGACCACGACCTTTATATTACCTGTGGGTTAGTACAATTCCTATATCGGTCCATTTAACGAAATAGGGAATTATTATAAGGTCTCTACACTTAATATATAATTAGTTGATAACCTCAATAGTCAATGTATTCACAATCAAGACCACATTCAATCAAGACCACATTTGAAATTGACTTTACAATTGGACTGCTGTACATATTTAATTTTACATATTAAGCCCACAATAGAAAATTAAATCCAACAAAGTGTCGAATGCTTTCAGATAATGATTCATTGCCATTTATTACCTTTAAGCATTCAATTTGAGTGACTGATAATGCAAGATCGTGTATTAGATCATGCATTTTACATCTAACAGTACCATAATATATATCGAACTCTTGGAAAAAACATCTAGAGCATAGCTCTTGGAAATACCTCAAGCCAACATTTTCCAACTCTTCATTTTCATTTGAAGATTGAACAAGTCCATGTGACATCCAAAAATAAACCAATTCAAGATCATCAAATACATAATCTTTTGGAAAAATCGAACAATAAGCAAAACATCTCTTCAAGTAGGCTGGCATGAGTTCATAACTCAATTTTAAAGCAGGCATAATATCATTATCCTTTTGCTTTAATTTCCATATCTCGCTGTCCATTACAAATTTCCAAGCACTTTCATCTGTTACAGAGTAAAGTAGGGTTCATCTGTTACAGAGTAAAGTAGGGTTCCTAAGGTTATTACTGCTAAAGGAACTCCCTTACATTTACTCACAATTTGTTCTCCATAGTGTATGAGGTTTGGATTTTGGTTCTGCACTTCTCCGAATGCACATCTAAAAAACAAAGACAAACAATCTGGTTCAGGAAGCCGACCTAAAGCGTATGAAGCAACTGTGCCCATAATTTTAGCAACATCATTGCTTCGTGTGGTGGCTATGATCGTACTTCCATTAGCACCCACCATTAATAAAGTTTTCAAGTCAAGCCATTTGTTTCTATCCTCATTCCAAACATCATCCAATACGAGTAAGTATCTCCTTCTTTGTAAAGCCTCTCGCAAGGCTCTTTGCAATTGCTCAATATCCAAACCCACATATCGTTGACCAGTGCTTACACAGTTGAGAATCTTAATTATCACAGTTTGCAAATGAAAGTTATCAGAGACACAGACCCATAATTTCAACTCAAAATGAGTAACTACTCTAGGATCATTACACACCAATTGAGCAAGCGTAGTCTTCCCCATTCCTCCAATTCCAACAATTGGAATAATGGAGACATTTTCCTCCAATTCCAACAATTGGAATAATGGAGACATTGTCATTTTCAGCAGCGCTCAACAAATTTTTAATGATAAATTCTGCGTCTTGGTTTCTTCCAGTGACATTCGCAGCATCCACAAAGGAGTGGGTCATTTCCCTCTCCCTATGGATGACATAATTATCATTAATCCGCTCATTGAGACCAAAATCAGACTTGAGAGATGCAATTTCAGCTACTCTCTTCCTAATGTTCTTTAACTCATGGCCCAATTTAAGGCGGAATGCAAGTGGATTAGATGTAGAAAAGAATCGGCGTACCTTCCTAGTAGTGCTTCCGGATTTCACCACTTGCCTTCGCAAAGCTTCACATTCGAACTCATCAATCACATCTTCCGTATCATAAAGAACATCTTTAAGCATCCTGAGCCAATGCTCTATCCGTTGACTCTGCGACTGACGCTGCTCCGCGTCATAAAGCACAGCTTTGATAGCAAGTAACATCTTTTTAATTCCTTTTAGATCATCTTCAAGCCCCCATGCCAAGAAAAATTCTTGAAGAGCAAGAGCAGTCAGTTTGCCCAAAACGCTTTCTGCAGTATTGAACAAAAAAGACTCTGACATTGTTTTCTCGTTGGAAGTGAGTGAATGCTTTCTGCAGTATTGAACAAAAAAGACTCCGCCATTGTTTTCTCGTTGGAAGTGAGTGAATGGTTTGATGAGTAAAGATCAAACACAAATGGAAATGATTTTTTTTTTTTCCAGCAAAATAATTTATTTTATCAGTATTAATATGACTATGAAAAACCTGAACACACTTAAGCATCTAATCCCAAGCCATCCAAACCTAGAATAAAGATGTAAAGTGAAAACCTTAGATTCCTCGCTTTCGCTAGACAAAGAAGATAGACATTCTAATATTGCATGTCTTTGCACTGTCTAGGCACGATATTTATTCTCTACTTTTAATCCGGCCAATGGGTTTGTGATTAAAATAAAAAATAACATTATTAAACTGTGGAATTCATTTCATTTCATATTTTTTTTATAAAATTTATTAATTCTTCAATCATTTGGTTTGTGCAGTGCAGCGACCAATCTAGACAAAAAATATCTTAGTTTCATAGATTTTATTAATTTCATAGATTTCAAGATACCTCCTGAATATTTTAAAGACATTTTAAAAAATTTATAAAATATTTAAAAATTTATTAATAAAATATTTTAAAAAATTTATAAAATATTTAAAAATTTATTAATAAAATTGTGGTCTTAAATATATATTAGATAATTATTTGTACGTAAAGTAAAAGTTTAAAGATATGCAAATGAAGAAAAATCCAAATAATTATCACAGTGTATAAGTTTTTGCCTACATAAATATCTATTGGTGTTAAATTTAAAAGGCCGTTTCACAATGTTGATTTGAAATTCAAGATTTCACAAAACTTATATATTGTTAGTGATCTTCGGTTTTTATCAAGAAAATGCCTATAATATTATATTGAACAACCTAAAATATGTAGTGTTTTAGTGATGAATTTGAAACTTCTAAAGTGTTTAGTGATGAATTTGAAACTTTCTAAAAATATTGAATTCTTCATCGATTGCTAATTATGCTCTAAAACAAATCAACGAATAAGAGGCCCTAATTTAAACTTCTAAAAATATTGAAATTCTTCATCGAATTGCTAATTATCTCTAAACAAATCAACGATAGAGGCCCTAATTTTTAATAATGATGTTAAGATTGAAAATTTAATTAAGAATATTAAAGTAGAAAATTTAAGTAATTTTTATTTTATGTTGATGTGTTATTATGGATCATCTTTTCTTTGTTTGTATTTGTTAATAATTTTAATATTCAATTGGGGTATCTGTCTTAGCCCGTCATATCCTTCTTTTCATATATAATTTAATCTTTGAACTTTAATAAAAAATTTTAAAAAAATTAATTATTTAACCATGAGGTATGATAAAATTATTAAAATAATTCATTCGCTTTGAATAAATATTCAGCGCCTCACTCATGTTTACTTCTGTCATTCTAAGTAGTCCCTTCAGTCAAGTGACATAGAAAGGAAGAAAACACCCTTTGGCCATATGAAAGCAGCAGATCCATTCTCTCCCTCCCCGCCATCTCCTCTGCACCGCCTCCTCCACCATCGGCTTCTTTGCCTTCAATATCGCCACCCTGCCATCTTCACCATCTTCAAACTCTTTTTCTAACCTCTCCACACAAACCCCCTCACCTCCACCCCCAAAATCTCCACTCTCTTGCTTACCTTCCTCGTGTCGCTCAATGTCGATTCCGTCCTTATCAGCTCATCCTATGCCTCAGTTCAACTGACCATGCCGTCGACTCGGCTCTTACTGTCGACCTGGAGGTCCAGCTTGTCCATGTGGACGCATTACGGATTGAGGAGATCGCAGATACAGTGTTGGCCTTGTTTATTGGCTTATTAGGCGCAGACTCATTTGCTGTCTCGCCACGCGCTTTTGGCTTCTTTAACTTTGAATTTTGTTGCTATTAGATAACAAGGGGAAATTAGTTGAAAAATGTATCGGTTTTGGAGAAATTACATCCTCTTCATTAGGAATTTTTTTAATTAATCATGCTCATTGCAATACTAGTGAAGTAATTTTACCAAAGACCTAAAAGGCTAGTTCACCTGTAGATGCGTGAAGGCTTTCCCATTGAGGTAATTTTATCAATTTTATATATATGTTCTCTCACCTCTTTCTTGCTTTTTTTTTATATTTAACGGAAAACAACCTCAAAAGTGGACCAAGAGATTATTTGGAGTGACAGATGAAAACGTTAGAGATGCTTTGAATATTTGTTCAAAACAAAGGAATTTCTTAGATGATTCCGTCATACTTCAGGGAATAAATAATTAATTTTTTAAAATTTTATGGCACCCTAAACTTTAAAAGCAACATTATGATATCTTGAATTTCACTTTTTTTAATAATCTCACACTTCCTTAATTAAAAAAAATATTTTTTAAGGTTTTTCGTTTTTATTTGCAAAATATTGATTTAATACGTGGTTAATGTAACTTTTGGAATAATATTTTTTACATTTTTAACTATACAATAAGTGTTATTTACAAGTTGAGGTGTTGAATGGTCAAATACAATATTTAACGAGTCAAATATAGAATTTTTTTTTGTATCCAAATCTAAAACCATATGATTACTGCTCACTTTCTTTTCAAGAAGTTGAGGTGTTGAATGGTCAAATACAATATTTAACGAGTCAAATATAGAATTTTTTTTTGTATCCAAATCTAAAACCATATGATTACTGCTCACTTTCTTTTCAAGTCCCAAATATATAGTGCTCTAAATCCAAAACTCAAATTCATGGATCGTAGTTTTAAAGAAAAATCTAGATTGAAGGAGAAATTGATAAAATGAAACATATAGAAGTAAAAATACAAGGTGAAAATCACATTATTTGATGGATAACTTATATAATATAAATTTTTATTTGAAATTTTGGAAAGAGAATCAATTTTGTTACCAAGAGAAACATTTTTGGAAGTCATAGAGAGTTTTATACTGAAGAGATATAAGAGGAGTAGAAAGTTCCTGAATAGCTTATGCAGAAGATTGCTTTTTGGAGGAAATACGAGAAGTGGAGAGGTTACAATGGAGGAAGTTATCTCTAGAGAAAAAGCAAAGAGTCGATGTTGAAAGGGTTTGTAATCTTAGTGTGCTCACCGCAAAAAAATATTTCCAGTCTGCATATAATTAAAAATAAAAAAAAAAATTTTTTTTACTCTATTTTGCATACATCAACTGTTTTAAATTCCACATTTTTATCTGTTTGGAGGGAGGTGTACCAGTAACAAATTTAAATCTTTAAGAGGCCACAAAATCATTTTCACTAGTAGAGAGGACCATAAAGTTTTTTTAGTAAAATTTGAGGGTATGTGCTCTGCCTATAGGCTATATCTATGTATGTGCAAGCTAGAATATTATGTCTATAAATAGAGCTTAATTTCACTCATACGTACATGGACTATATCCCCTACTATATTGGCGTACCAAAATTTCAATTTGTTATGCAAAAATATCAAATCTTTAATTTGTATTTCGCTAAAATACATTTTAGCCGTTTGATATTAGATGAAATGTTGATATGGATACCCTAATTTTGGTATACCAAGTCAACCACAAATTCATATCATACACGTAACGAAAAACAATTTCTTACATTCACTTGTATTTTTAAAATGTCAAGTTACTACTTGTAATATCATTAAAATAACATTATTCTACTGCAGAATTTATTTAATTTCTTTGCTGTGTTTAGGGATGATTTTTATACCCACCTATATTTTTAAAATACCAAGTTAATTCTAATATCATTAAAATAATATTTCTCTACTGTATAATTTATTTCACATCTATATGTGAAAGTTATTTCCTAACAAACCTTAAACATTTGTTTTCAAACTAGTACATATATGATTCCATCGTGTGTATTCGTTTGTTTATTTAGCTGTGTTTTGGTGATGATTTTTTATAACACCTATCAATTTTTAAAATACAAAGTTAATTTCTAATATCATTAAAATAATATTTTCCTCTACTTGTATAATTTTATTTCAACATCTATATATGGAAAAAAAGTTATTTCCTCTCTACTGTATAATTTATTTCACATCTATATGTGAAAGTTATTTCCTAACAAACCTTAAACATTTGTTTTCAAACTAGTACATATATGATTCCATCGTGTGTATTCGTTTGTTTATTTACGTTTCTTCAAATAATGTTGAAGTTAAGTACACCTGCAAGCCGCAACTTAAAAAATAGACGAATGGCTAAACTTTATTTATTTTATGATTAATTATAATGGAATAAAATCATAAGAGGGTATCATTCGATATATGTACGTAAGTTAATTTATTTATATAATTTTCTATTAATTTTTATCTATAAGGTGTCACAAACCGTGAATTTAGATCGGACCGATACAATGACTTGAGATAACTGAAGGTTACCTAAGCTCATAGCAAGTCTTTATCAAATCAGAAATAAACATAAAGAGGGAGAAAATGAAAGTTACAGAGGGAGAAAATATAATCCCATTAACATTTCTGGATGGAAAAGTTACAGAGGGAGAAAATGAAAGCCATCAACCTTTACCAATTGAACATGTCCTCCAGGTTCCTATTTTCTGCGAAAGTGGGTCTAATCGTTGCGAGTCTTTGTCCTTCAATATCAGTAAATTGATAATAAGCATGCAGTGAACGTTAATCAAACTGATCACTAAGGCTACAACACATGACGCGTGGGCTCTTCCAAAGCTAGGGTTGACTTGACTTGACTTTTCCAATTTCACGTTATTAATTGTTCCTACTTTTGCTTAGTTTTTTTTTTAATATTTATTATATTTAAGAAAATATTATATTTTTCAATATTTATCATATTTATAGATTTATAAATAATAAGTTTTTTATTTTTACTATTTATATATGATTAATAGTAATTATTTCATTTCTTCAATATTTTATTATAATTTAAATAAATTAAAAATAATATAGTCAATTTATTAAATAATTTATTTTAATTTAGACAAATTGAATCATACTATTTCTCTTGTCGGCTTTATTCCGGCCTTGTATACTTGTTCTATTTTTCAGGTTGGTTATAATATACCAATTCTCTATTTAATGTCATTGCTATGCACGCATTTCGCTTTATTTGACACATTTATCTTTTCATTTTACTAAACTTAGTTTAAAATAATAAATATTTTTTATTCTAAAAAATATAGTTTTAAAATTATTTTCTTTATGTTTTGTAACATTTTTATTTTTATTTTTGAATATGACTATTTAAGTTAATAGATAAGTAAATAGATAAATGAAGATCGCACGGCTAGATATGAAATTATTTCCTTAATTGAATTGTATGCATGGGATAATCAGATATCAATATATTCATTATAAAGAAAAAACAGTTTCTATAACACATTACCGAGTAATATCATTCGGGTAGAAGAGTGATGGGCAACCTACCAAAGAATGACGCCACTATCTTCCATGACACGATGCATCAAGATACATGTGGATGATACAATTAATTAAATCAGATACAACAAAAAAACATTTGAATGTGTTAAGTACAAAACTATTGGAGAAATACCAGCTTAGAAAGACGATTTTCATATCACAAACGAGTACCGAATCTATAAAAGACATATAAGAATGGAGTGTTAACCTTTTAATATTGGTTTACCTTATAGATTATAACATTTAAATTTGTTATATAATTCTTCGAGCCGTAAAGCTTAATGTGTGTTTTTTAGGGTTCGAATTTGTATTCTCATGCTTACAAGAATTGAGGTTGCTAACCACCTCAACTAATATCTTGTTAGTAATTAATAATCTATTTAAATAACTCATAATTTATTAACAATTTCTGATATTTATGAACGCTTTTTATTAAAAAAAAAAAAAAAATTTTAAATAACTCATAATTTATTAACAATTTCTGATATTTATGAACGCTTTTTATTAAAAAAAAAAAAAAAAGAAGGTAAAACTTATTTTATTTTGAAAAATTAAACCAAATTTACTCACAGGTTAATCGCAAAGCAATTGGCAGAGAATTTCCAAAGTCTTTGGGCTTGCAATTGTCACAGAAATAGTCGTGCTTGCGTAATACTATACATATAATACCGATGAGTTTGCTCTCTATAAAGTAGAAAACAAACAAATAAATAACAAAATGAAATATAATTTTTTAAAAAATTAATTTTTAAAAATTCTTAATATCACACGTGTGAAGGCACTGCAGAACTTCATTTTGGATTATATAAAATATAATTACAAGAATGTATAAATAAAAGTAGCCAAATACATAAACCTTCAATAGGGAATGGATAATTAATGAACACGACACTACTACTTCATACGAACTAATAAACTCACAATGTTGAATTAATATAGTAAAATTACAAAAGGTAAAATCTGACAAGCTGCTCATCTATTTTAGTTATGCGGAGATCGGAAAAATCTAGAGATCTCCCCAACTCGGCCAGACCAGGATATGTTACTCTAAGTTGGACTCTGTAACTGTGTGATTGCAAGGGTCAACCATTCAATTCTAATTAACCCAATATATATCCAATATATATATTATAATAAAAATATATATATAATATAATATATATTATATATATATATTTTTATATATATTTTGGGGTATATATATATATATTTGAAAAACCAAGCAATCTATACCAATTTAGTAATTAGTAATAGTTGATTAATTTTAAGTCACATTATTTTCAACACAAAACTTTATAAAAAAAAGGGAATTAACAGATATTTAAAAAGAAAAGTGAAGGGGGGAAAAAAAATTAGGCCTTCAATCTGATTCCCAGGCAGTGGTGGCTGTCCTTCTCTCAAACGCTTCTGCTGGTGTATGTCATAGAAATTTGATTTCGGGCATGCAAAGAGTGTTTGGCACGTGATTGGCAGGTTCAGGTGAAGCATCTATATAGGGAGGTTAATAGTATTGCTGATTTTTGGCTTCTTCTTCTCGTAAATTAGCAAGAGGTTTGAAATTCTAGCATTCTCACCTGTTTCTTGTAACCTTTGATATGAAACTCTTCTAGTGATTGTATGTTCTGTATGTAGTCTGGCAGGTCTCTGAGGCTGTGACAAGAAACAACTTCGATAACTTTTAAACTATTAGTAGATCCTCGAAGAAGCCATTCTGGAAAATCCACTAATTTTGATAATCCTCCAATCTTCAGTTCGCGAAGGCTAAATTGACTTGCTGAGTCTTCCTTCATTGTCAAACTAAGACTTCTGCAATCTGCAATAACAAGAGTCTTTAAAGAAGCTAGGAATCTCACACTTGGTGGCAAACAAACCAAGCTGTCACAATCACGGATAACCAATGTTTGAAGCCTTTTGAGACCTTGGATATCTTCACACAAAGACTCCAGATTGTCTTTGAAGCCTTTTGAGACCTTGGATATCTTCACACAAAGACTCCAGATTGTCACAGTCGGTGATGAACAAATATTGAAGAGACTTGAGACACCCTATTCCGCCAACTGGTAAATACCTTTGCTTTGTAGTTATCCAAAGACATCTAAGATTAATCAATTCCATATTTTTAGGCAACTCTTCTAGACCATAACAATCACCAAGTAGTAGAGTTTGTAAGCTTTGTAGCTTGCATATAGAATTAGGCAGTCTGTTAATGTGCATATTCCCATATAAAATAAGATATTTCAAATGCTTCAATCTGCCTATCCCTTCAGGAAGCACTTTCACCCTGGAAAAAAACTTCACTTTCACCCTGGAAAAACTCAAATCCAAAGCCCTCAAATATTGGAATTTTGAGATACACGTTCTAAGAAATATCTCACTACTAATCCCCTTGCCTCTTTCATTTGAACAGGAAATAGTTCTTATACGATCTAGCTTTCTTACGGGCTTAGGAAGATCCTCAGGAAGCAATTCAGGGTAAGGAAATGATAAATGTCAAATACTTTTGGGTATCTGTTCGTTGGAAGAGGTTACTATTAAACATTCATTTTGAGTCACTGTTAATGCTAGGTCGTGTATTAGATCATGCATTTTACAATATACATTACCATTGTATTCAGAGAAATCTTGGAAAAAACATCTAGAACACAGCTCTTGGAAACAACGGATGCCAACATCTTCCAACTCTTGATTTTCCAAAACTGTCTTGATTTTCAATTGCGAGATTGAATAAGTGTTCGATGCGATACTCCAAAAATAAACTAACTCTATATCTAACAAATAGTATATCTTTTCGAAAAATCGAACAATACAAACATCTCTTCAAGTAGGATGGCCTATGTGTTTCATAAACTCGAAATTTTAAAATAGCAGGCGATAAATATCATTTTTTCCTTCTGTCTCTAAAATTTCCCAATATAATTCATTGTCCCTTACAAATTTCCAATCACGTTCACCAGCTACAGAGTAAAGTAAGGTTCCTAAAGTTATTACTGCCAAAGGAATTCCTTTGCATTTGCTCACGATTTCTTCCCCAATTTTTATGAGGTCTGGGTTTTGTTTATCTTCTGGTTCTTCAAATGCACATTTACAGAATATAGCCAAACAATACTCATGAGAAAGATGGTCTAACTCATATGATGAGACTGTGCTCATGATTGAAGCAACATGCTTACTGCGTGTGGTGACCAAGATCTTACTTCCACTAGCACCCCCCATCAATAAAATTTTCAATTCAAGCCATTTTCTTCTATCCTCATTCCAAACATCATCCAGTACGAGTAAATATCTCTTTCCATATAAAGCCTCTCGCTATCTCTTTCCCATAATAAAGCCTCTTCGCAAGGCGAATTTTGAAAGATTGCTCAATATCCATAAATTCATATTATAAGGGCCTCGAACACAGTTTAAGGATCTTAATTATCATCCTTCTGCAAATCAAGTCTTCAGAGACACATAACCGCATAGAAATTTTGACTGAAAATGAACTTACCACCTCTCATCATTTATACAACCAATTTAAAGCAAATGTGTAGTCTTCCCAGACGCTCCAATTCAACAATTGGAAGAAATGGAGATATTTTCAAAATTATCAGCAGGTTTCAAACAATTCTTTTTGATAATTCTTTGTCCTTTATCTTTTGGTTCCGCTTCAATGACCATTTGAAGCATCCATTCAAAGGAGTGGGTTTATTTCCTCTCTTTTACGTATGACATAACGTATCACTAGTTACCGCCTCAGTGAGACCAAAATCAGACTTTGAGAGCTGCATTCCACAGCAACTCTCTCCCTAAACGCAACCTTCTTAATTTTGATGGCCCCATTTGAAAGCGGAAAAGCAAGTGGAAATTAGAAACTAGAAAAGAATCGCGTACCTTCCTGTAGTGCCTTCCAGATTTCACGCACTTTGCCTGTAGTGCTTCCAGATTTCACCACTTGCCTGCGCAAAGCTTCACAGCGGAACTCATCAATCACATCTTCTGCATCATAAAGGACATCTTTAAGCTTTCCAAGCCAAAACTCTATCCGGTGATCCTGGGATTGACGCTTCTCTGCATCAGAAAGCACAGCTTTGATAGCAAGTAACATTTCTTTAATTTTTTCAAGGTCATCTTCAATCCCCCATGCCAATAAAAATTCTTCAAGAGCAAGAGAGGCCAATTTCTCCAAAATGCTCTCTGCAGTATTGAACAGAAAAGACTCTGGCATTGTTTTCACTTGGAAGTGAGTGAGTCAATGATTTAATGAATAATGGTTAATATACAAATGGAAATATTATATAGCAAGCCAAAGAAGACAGGTTCTAACTTCTAATATTCCATTTCTTTGCTCTGCAAACTGGGTAAACGCTAAAAACTGGGTAAACGCTAAGTCCACAGGAAATGGGAACACTCAGAAAAGAAAAGAGGAATAAAAGAGACAAGCTAAAGTCTCTGGGCGTGCGACACCTCTGTCTAATTAACATTATCGAAAAATCTTTATTTAATACTAACAATAAAAAATAATAATAATAAAGTTTCTAATTATAAAAAAAATGTCAAAATAATTAGTTTTAGAGACTACTTTTTATAAATTCATTGCTTAAAATATAAAAAGTAGTTGCTCAAAAATATTCTCCATTAAAGTACAATAAATGGTATTTTGATGGTAGCCCCATTCCCTCTAATAAAAAATATACTTTCATCTTGACCCGTTGAATTACTTGATTCTATAACTCAAATAATATTTGATATTTTCAATTGTTAAATTCCTTAAATAAACAAATGCTCAAAGACAATGAAAGTTTTTTTTTTTTTTTTCTCTTTTAAGCTCTTTGCTTCGCTTTTTTTTTTTTTTTTCTCTTTTAAGCTCTTTGCTTCGCTTGTTTCCATAAAATAACATGCATGAAAATATTTTTCGCAAATTCTATTGTTAGAAGCGTTCAAAAAAATAAATCAAGGAAAAATATTTTCATGGTCAAAATAAAAAATAAGTCATTTTTAAAGAAAACGACTTCTATTTTCAATAGCCTGAAATATTTTCCAGACTTTTGACAAACTTAGAAGAATTTTTTTCTGCAGAATTTTTTTTTTTTTTTGAATATTAGAAGAAGGGAATTCAAACCTGAATCTATTGAGAGGTCGTATATACACTTACCATTATGCTATGCCTTGATGTGCTATTACATTGTAGAATTTATTTAATTTCTTTGCCTTGTCTAGGCATGATGATGTTTATAATCTAGTTTTAATAAACTAGGTCAATAATAGTCCATATCATATAAAGGTTGCAAAAACAACTTCTTATACCCACTTGTATATTTTTAAAATATCATTAAAATAATATATTACTCTACTGTAAAACTTATTTCATATCTCTGATGTGAAAGTTATTTCCTAAAAAATCTTTAATATTTTTTTTTGAACTAGTCCACATATGATTCCGTTGTGGGTATTGAAGTTAGGTACAATTAACAGCAAAAAAAAAATAAAAAATGATGAGATATTTTATTAACTAATTATTATGGAATTAAATTATAAGAGGGTATTTATTTACTTAATTAGCAGTCTAAAATTAACTGTTTTAGTAACTGCTAATTAAGAAATCTTCAGCTATATTGCTAATCTTTAATTTTGACCCAAAATAAACTTAATTTGATTGAATATTATTTTTGGCTTCTACTACAGTAAATAATTTACTAGTACAAATACTTTCTTTTTGTGCCATTTGGCATGATAAGTCTAGCGGGTAAATCTAATTGATTATGTATGTACTTTTTTTTTTCTTTTCAAATTTCTTTTTTTAAAAAACTATTAGGAAAGTTTTTGTGATTATATATGTATTTAAGAAAATTTTACATATCACATAATTTATATGAAATAATGATATGATTGCACATGAAAAAATAAATAATAAAAAATCTTAATATGAATATTAAAATTCTTGGAAATATTTAACCAAGATAAATAATTTTTTCTATAAAATTTTATAAAATGATCTTAATTAATATCATATATTAAAACATTTATAGATTTGAGGAATCTTTAAATTAAATATCATATATTACATTTATAGAAATTTGAGTTAATCGAAATTGAAATATGCATTGAATTTAAATTTATAAAAGATTATTATTGTGTTTTTGGGCCAGCATTGATTTAAATTTTATAAAAGATTATTATTGGTGTTTTGCACATTATCCATTTTATAAAACAGGTAACAAGATAATTAAAAGATTTCATTAATTTTTTTAGTTAATAGTACTAAATTTGCATTAACTAATACATTTTTGAAACTGTAAATGTTAAATCCCACGTGTTAAGCTATATGTCGACCTACTGAGCAATATTTTGAATATTAAGTGGGTCTCATGAATCCTATTCTTATTTTAAAAAAGCCACGTAAAATGAATACACCTAATTGAAAAAAATTTATCTGGTCAGAAATTTGATTGTAAACGTTTTTCGTTGAAACACTGAATAGAAATTTTTCAAAAGTTTAGAAACTGAATTTGTAATTACCTCGTTTTAAAATATTCAAATCAATATATATTTATGAACTTAAAATCATTAGTCAAGGTAAAGACGGCTACAATATACTTTAGTTTTCTTCCATTCCATAATTAATTAATTAATTTTAACAAATTATACAGGTTAATTCTAATTATAGTCTTAGATGCCTAAAAAAACATTGAAGAATCAACAGCTAAATTGATCTAAAATGTTAATCTGATTTTTTGATTATTTTAATTGACTCAAAATATTAAATTTGATCTTTTTAATCATTTTTAACTTTATTCCTAAAAAAAAAATAACAACAATAAAACCCTCAAGATTTGATAAGCTTATGTTAGTTAATCTACCAACTAAAGCCCTGCAAATTGCAATTATAGCCACCCCACGGCTAATAGCGCAACCGCCTCTTCTTGTAACTGGCCCGGGGAAAAGAAACCCCTAATTCCCAAATTCTCCAATCTCTTCCCTAATAGCGCAACCGCCTCTACCTATTTCTTTGCCCCAAGCCTAGTACAAGTAAAAGCGTTTTGAGTTCTGCATAAAAAGGTACTCCCTCTGTTACAAGTACATTCCCTTTCGTTGCTGATGCTGAATTTTTGCTTACTCTTAGAGTAATTTTTATTGTTTGGTTTTGAAATGTATTGAATCTTGAATTTTGTTTTCCTTGCTGTTTTTGTCCAATAACAAACACAACTACTACTTAAGCCTTAACAGAAAAAAAAAAAAAAATGCTTTCATGTGATTTTGATAGACATTTGACTAAGTTTTTTGATCCTATATTGGATTACTGTGCAAAGATGATTATGGTCTGAGTTCGTTAACTAAAAGTTAAAGACTTTTGTTGTATATTGGATTTGGATTTCTTGTTAATTAAGGTCAGTTATCGACTACTCTACTATGCATATTGCCAATGCGTGAATGCGAATGGATATGCCAATGCGTGAATGCGAATGGACTTATATATTGATGTGTCATTGTTGAGCTTGCAAATTTGGGACAGCAACATTGTAGAAATTCGCCTTGCATATTGAGAGTACAGGTCTAATCTTTAATCATAACCTTATGCATCTCTTTAAATGAAGCAAGGTGTTCTTTGGAACTAATGGGAGATTTAGCAGAAGTAGAATGATTTATTTCTGATTGATTCAGTGTAAGTTTAATGGTTCTGCCTTGTGACTGCTTACTACTTGATCAATAACTATGGGTATCAGAATTAGCTAACTAGAGACATTCTGAACCTGTGAAGAGGTGTATTTGTCAAATCCCGAAAGTCATATCAATGGTTTTGAAATCTTCTTTAAAGCTGTAGTTTATTTGAGAGTGCTGTCTCTCTGCCTGTCTCATTCTTTTCTATGTTTTACATTCATTCGCTGATATACTCGAGAATTACTGTTTCATATTTGTCTATTCTAATGTTGACTGTTCTTTGGTGTTGGTTCTGTTATTAATTATTGATCATTGAATTTCTATTTCTATCTTTACGGTTTTTCTGTTATTAATTATTGATCATTGAATTTCTATTTCTATCTTTACGGTTTTAAGTAGTTTTAGATCATAGCAGACAGTGGAGTTATCCTCTGTTTTTATCTTGATTATTTGTGTATGTCTGCTTTTAATTTTATTGAGCCATTGTAGGGTACCTTTACTAATTATTTATTTGTTAGATTCTTGAATATATCTAGCAGTCTTCTACTCTTTGTTCTCCATATTCTTCTTTCTTTCTTATCTTTTAATACTTTTACTGTCTAATTCTTATTGATCCTTTTTATGTAGCTTACGGAGAAAAACATGCTAGAAAATGAGGTAAACCCAACTCTCAGCAAGTCAACTGGCCTGCCAAGGAAACGCTTCTACAGAGCACGAGCACATAGCAACCCACTCAGTGACTCACACTTCCCTGTTCCAATTTCCCCTTCTCATGTTGACTATTCAGTTCATTACCCTCATGTTGACTATTCAGTTCATTACCCGCAATTTTTCCCTTCATCTGATCAAGTGGATAGTTCCAAAAAGATTCAGTTTGCGGATGTTGGTTGTGGTTTTGGAGGGCTACTTATTAGTCTCAACCCTTTTTCCTGAAACCCTAATGATTGGTATGGAACTTAGGGATAAAGTGACAGAATATGTCAAGGAACGAATTTCTGCATTAAGGATAGCTAATCCAGGTCAATATCAAAATGCCTCAATGGTTCGAACCAATTCTATGAAATACATACCAAATTACTTTGGGAAAGGACAGCTTACGAAGATGTTTTTCCTGTTTCCGGATCCCCACTTAAAGGAGAAGAATCATCGTCGAAGGGTTATTAGTCCACATTTGCTAGATGAGTATGCCTATGTTCTTGAGATTGGCGGGATTATTTATGCAATTACTGATGTGGAAGAATTGGGTGAGTGGATGAAGGCTTGTTTGGAGAATCACCCTATGTTTGAAGCCCTCACAGAGGAGGAGCTTGGAGTAGATCCTGTTGTAGAGCTCCAAAGCACAGCAACTGAAGAAGGACAAAAGGTGGCTAGGAATGGGGGACAGACTTTCCAAGCAGTCTATGGACGTATTGCACCATCTCTATGATACATAAGAAACTTAGACATACTTAAACAGATGGCTTAAACTAATTAAGCCAATCAGTTTTGCTACTAATTAAGCCAATCAGTTTTGCTAGGTTACTTTTTACCCTTATTCTTATCTGAGCAATTTTTTGTCATTGTTAATTTTGTAGGATTATGTGCTTATTATTTATTTTCTAGCTAAGATTTTTATTATCTTGTATTGTACCCAGCTTCAGTTTTATGATATTACTCCGCCTTCCCTAATTCTCACTTCATTTCAATTCATTCATTATATTTTTCTCATGACCGCACCCGTCGATTATGGATTGATTTTAACCATTTGGTGTTCTAGTTTTGTTATTTATGTTGAACAACGCATGGAAGCTGCTGCGTTTAGTTCCTATTGATGTTGAGTTATTGCAATGGAGCCTTGACAAAGAATAATGGTTATTTCATTGAGATTAGAAATGAAAGATTGGTTCCATAACCACGACTGAAGATGGCAAGTGTAGATATACCAATCATTAGGACTCAAACTATTAACCTTTCAGATCATTAGAGTAAGTATACACTCCATTCTGAAGTTAGTATTAGGTGAAGACCCCTCAGTAAGAAATTTCTGAGAATTTTGCTCTGGTAGGTAATGTGCTAGGCTGGTTAGAGAATTTTGCTATATTTAGATCGGCCTAAATTAGCAATTTAACAAGCAAATGCAGCCAGCCCGACTCGTGAACGCGATCTTTCCAGCCATTTCAGTGGCTACCTGCAAGAAACTTTTTGGCAGGAGACAAAAGTAAAGGAAGGCGAAGACTTTAAACTTAAAAAGATCAGTCAATTGTAGTTTATGAAGAAAGAATCTTTTTATACTTAATGTAAAAAAAAAAAAAAAAAAATCTTTTTATACTTAGTTATCAATAATTTGCTCGATAATGATTACTTGATTGTAGACTTTTCAAAATATGCCAACTTGAATTCACCGATTGATCATTTCTGCTCTGCAAGTCTGCTTTTCATTTCACCTCCGCCACCATTGCAAACCCAATTAGCGACCACTGCCTTCTTTTTCCTTTTGCTGTTTTTTAATTGCTGTTTTTTTTTTTTTAGAAAGAAAAGAATGTGGCAGAATCTTTTCTCTTCAACATAGCTGAAACTGTTCTTCACAAGTTAATATCTAAAGTTGTTGACGAGATTAGCTTAGCATAGAATGTCAACGAAGACTTAAAGAAGCTCCAAGACACCTTGTCCACCATTAAAGCTGTGCTCTTGGATGCAGAGGAGCAACAGGGAAAGGAAAACAGTGAGCTTACTGCTTGGTTATCCAAACTTAAAGAAGCTTGTTTTGATGCGGAGGATATTATTGATGATTTTGTCTATGAAGCCTTACAAAGACAATCTACTAATGGTAAGGTATGGATTGGGCATAAAATGAAAGATATTAGAGAGAGATTTGATGAAATTGCTGCTTTGAAGAATAAGTTTCATTTAATTTAAAAGAAAGATTTGTAGATGAGAAAGTTGAATATAGGAGGAGAGAGATGACTCACTCCTTTGTTCAAGCTTCAGATGTTATTGGGAGAGATTTTGATAGAGATAAAATTATCGACTTATTGTTGCATTATAGTAAGGAAGAAAATCTTTCAGTTGTTCCTATAATTGGAATTGGTGGCCAAGGTAAGACGACATTAGCTAAAATGGTGTATAATGATGAAAGGGTGGAGAAGAATTTTCAATTGAAGATGTGGGTTTGTGTGTCTCAGGAATTTGATGTTACTACGTTGGCTAAGGAGATTACTAGTTCTGCTACTGGTAGGAGTTATGGTGACCTGACAATGGATCAATTGCAAGCACGATTGCGGAGGAGTTTAGGTGGTAGAAAGTTTTTGCTTGTTTTAAGTTTTTGCTGTGTTTTAGAATGATGTTTTTTGGAATGAAAATCCTGGTTAAAATGGGTTGAATTGAGAGGTTTTGGTTGGAGGGTTTGTGGCTTTGGGAAGTAAATGTAAAATTATTGTAACTACAAGGAGTTCAAAAGTTGCTTCTGTTGTAGGCAATGATTTTGCATACAATTTGCCTGGTCTTTCCCATAAGGATTGTTTGTCTTTGTTTTTGAAATGGGAATTTAATCCAGGACAAGAGAAGCAATATCCGAATCTCATAGATACTGGGAATGAGATTGTAAGGAAATGTGAAGGGGTTCCTTTAGCAGTGAGAACATTAGGAAGTCTACTTTATTCATCAACCGAAGAAAAAACCTGGGTGTCCACCAGAGACAATGAGATATGGAAATTACAACATCAAGAAAATGACATCCTACCGGTGCTGAAGTTGAGCTATGATCACATGCCATCTTACTTGAAACGATGTTTTGCTTATTGTTCCCTCTTTCCCAAAAATTATGTGTTGTACAGTTTTGAATTGATTATTCGATTTTGGCATGGCTTATGGGACTTCTTTGAATCGCCTGATGAAGATGAAAGATTGAAGAGAAATGGTTGCGTTTTGTTGAAGAGAATGGGTTGCGTTTTGTGAAAGAACTATGGTCGAGATCTTTTCTCCAAGATATTGAGGATCATGGTTTCTTTTTTACCTGCAAAATGCATGATCTTGTACATGATCTAGCTATATCAGTTGCGCAAAGTGAGTGCTCAACTGTAAACTTTCTCACCCCATCTGTTGATGAAAAGGTCCGTCATTTATCCTTTTCAGGCAGTAATTTGCCAAGTCAACAAGTTCCTAAGTTCTTACACAAGTTAGAGAAGGTAAGAACTATATTTTTCCCAGTTAGGGGGATGGGGCCTACTAGCGGAACATTTATTGACACCTGCATGTCAAGATTCAAGCACTTACGAGTGCTTAATCTTAGCGATTCATGCTTTGAGACATTGCCAAATTCAATTGGTACCTTGAAGAATTTGAGATACCTTGACCTTTATAGGAATCGGAAGCTTCGAAAACTCCCTAATTCCATTTGCAGGCTGCAGAATTTGCAGACCTTAAGACTTGAAGAATGTGAGAAGCTTGAAGAAATTCCTAGAGATATCAAGCACACGACTCGCCTCAGGTTTTTGGAGATACCTACAAAACAGACTTCCTTCCCAGAAAACGGTATAGGATGTCTCAGTTCTCTAAGATATCTGTCTTTGTTTGAATGTGGAAATTTGGAAAAATTGTTTGATGATATGCAGGCTCTGACATCGCTTCGAACATTGGTTATAACTTCTTGCGGGAGTCTAGCATCCTTACCTCGCGGTATAAGGAATCTATCTGCATTAGAGACTTTGGTTATTGGAGACTGTGGAAAGCTTAATTTGATGGAGATGGAAAATACTGAAGATTTCAATCTGAGCCTTAGTTCATCCTTAGTTTTTGAGTGCAATTCCTCACTGCCTCACTGGCCCCATTTCATACATCGGGTTTCCAACTATAGTTCAAAAGATGTAGGAACCCTAATAGTTTTGGGACAATATTTTTGTACCATTTTTTTTTTTTTTTTTTTTTTTTTTTTTGTCTTTTTAAGTAAATATATGTTTTCTATATGATTATAGTGATTAAAATACTGTATAGTACTTAGGTTCAAAAAGAAGGACCTTTTAGCAGGAGCTCTTCAAAGCTCCTCATCAAATTGGTATTTCAAGACTGGCTCTCAGCAACTTTTGTTTCTCTTTTTAGCCTCAGCTGATGCCCTTACTATCCTCTTGCTTTCTTGTGTGCTTTTGCTACTTCATTCTGCATCTTCTCTAGTGTCTTGCTCTTTTCTCCTCAGCTTCCTCTTAAATAAATCCAAGCTCATATAAGTTAGAACAAAAAAGAGTTATAAACAGTGTTAAAAACAGAGACAACATTAATTTTCTAGTTGATACAAGAAAAAAAAAAAAGGAGGAGAAGAAGAAGAAACAGTAAAAGACATATACATGCTTTAGATATAAGCCGTTATGAAAATGCCTTATCAATTGTAAAGGTATAATTCTCACATGTACTTTTCTGTCTTGAGTAGTGCTTGAAGCATGAAAATACTTTTCTGGTTGAAAGTTAGTTATTATCTTTTGTGGAAGCAATAATTACTGAAATTGAAACTTGAGCTAAAATTAGCTCACTAACTAGCAATAGATAAAATACAAATCCAAGAAATTCCATTTCCAAGAAATTCCATTGTTTGATCATAAACTAGTGGTCTATATTAACTCTTGTCATATAGGTAAAGTATCAACGTAACTTCACCTACATCATCAAGACTCTCTCTAATCAATATGGTTCAAAAAATTCAACAAAGAAATTATGATTGTTATCTGTTTCTCAATTGAGTAATTAATTAACAAGTCCTTAGTATAATCATGAAAAAATCTATATGAGAAGGGAAACATATTAGCTTTGGATCATCAATTCAAAAATTTAATTAACAGGCAAATTAATAAATAATTAATATACTAGACTAATAATTAATTTCTTTCTATACATACCTCAACTTTCTTCATCCAAGAAGAAGCCTTTTGCACTTGCTCACTTTCCCAGCCATTAATTATGGCATCCTCTCTTTTGAACCTATTATTGATCTTAGCAATCTTTGCGTTTTGCCATGCAGATATCTTGGTTTCTATCTCTTCTTTCTTCACTCTCTGCACTGACACATCAGCACCACCACCACCAACAGCAACCACCTGATTGGACCCAACCCTTCTTGAGCTTGAGCTGGGTTCTGGGTCCAAGGGGCGAGTATCAGGCACAATAGCCAAAGGGTTAGTCTCTTCAGGAACTTCATCTTCTCCAATCCTAGCCAACAGGTTGTTTAAGTTACTATCTTCATTATGATCAGAACCGCTATTGTTGTTGTTCATGCTAGTTCCTATTGCAGAACCAGCAAGAACCAAAGCATTGAACTCTCTACTCATGGAGGTGAAGTTCTCACTTGCAGCCCCTTCACTACTCATGGATATTGAGCGATGGCTACCCGTTTCCCAACGGCCTCGAGGCACCGAAGGCGGCGGGGGTGGGGTTAAGGCATGGATATCGCGGATATCTTCATGTTCTTGGTCGTGATCGGTTTCTCCATGGCTTGTGGAGGTGCTGGTGGTAGGTCTTTGAGCACTTAACATAGAGAAAGAGTATTTCTTTCTGGTTTTATTAAGTTGATTATTACTATGTGTGCAAGAAGTGGACAAGATAGTGATGAAGGAGAAGTGGGAATTTGTTAGTGAGAAAAAAGAGTGGACAAGATAGTGATGAAGGAGAAGTGGGATTTTGTTAGTGAGAAAAAAGAGTTAAAGATTGGGATATCGTTATGGTCTTGGTTATGAGTGGTAATAATTTAGCAACATGAACCACAAACATAATTCTTTGGAAGAAGCTTTAATTCCAAAATTATAAAGGTGCATAAATGAGCCTATAGGATTCAAGGTTTATTTTTGCCCCTTCTATTTTTTCTTCTTTTGGATTTTTTTAATGACTTTTCAAAGTGCTATTTGTTTTAGTCCCCATAGTTTCCATATTTTCTTTGTATTCCTCTTATTTTACTTTATTTTATTATTTTATAATTGTGATAGTTGTATTCCTCTTATTTTACTTTATTTTATAATTGTGTATAGGTTTAAATTGAAACAAAAATAAATTTAATTACAATTTCTCTGGCTTAATGAGTCTAGTCAAGTCTAGACACAATATTTATTCAATGAATTAAAAAATTTTAATTTGATAAAATTTGCTAATTTATGAATTCTTAAATAAGTTTAGCCTAAACAAACAAGGTGTTGGTTGAGGTGGTAAGCAATTTCAACTCCCTTAAATGTAAGAATACAAGTACGATCCTCGAGAAATGTAATTTATTGAAAAACTTTGAACTTTTCCGTTCTCTTGGTTATAAAAAAAGAAAAAAATGTTTAGCCTAAGATAGATTAAGATGTTTTATTCTAAATTTGGGTCTAGCCTATCTAGACCTAACTAATATGGAGTTTATAAATTTATTTAAATCTTACTCATAACAATAACGTATATATAAAATATTAATACTTTATTAATTAGGTGAATTTGACATAGCTTGAAATAAAATCCCTAACTAACTAAATTTAAAATTCCTTACTCGAATTAAATTGAATTAGGAGGTTCTTAGAACCATGAATATATTTATATATTTATTGCAAATATCATTTATAGATTGTAATTTTTCTATTAGAGATTATAATCTTTTTACAACTTTCAAAATAGTATTTTATAACAACTTTTTAAATAACTTTTAGAGTTTTGATCAGTCAAAACACTAATGCTATTTTTTATAGTGCTCAGGTAACATACCGTTGGAATTAGGTTTTAGATGTTAAGGTAGCGTTTTGTGAAAAGTTAATTTATATAAGGTTTAGATTTTCAGTTTCATAAAAAGCTACATAAAAGCTAACAGCTAAATGCTACTAAAATAGCTAATTTTGCCGAATAAACCCTTAAGTTACACATCTATGTTTTAAAAAACATCGAGTTTAAACTTTTACAGAAAAAAAGCTACCTCATATTCAATGCTACCTCATATTTCATATTCAATAATTTATCTAATAAAATAAGATTAGAGGATATTTTAAGAAATAATATATTAAAGAAAAATATCCTTAGCAATGAATATCATAAACATAAATAAATTACTATATCATTTATAAATGACTTAGAGAATCTTTTTTTTTTCTTCTTTTTAATTCTTTTGAATGTGACATATCTCATGATGTAACCCTAAATCCAACAATTAATTGTTAGGTTGATCTCAAAATCTAACATAAAATTTCACTTTTTCTATTTTTGTTTCCCTAATAATCTATAGATATTAGATCATCTAACCCTTACTATCAAAGTTAGAGAAATGTTTTTTTTTTTTTTTTTTTTTTTTTACATTACCCATATGAGGCCTCATCTAAGATTTAACTAAATCTATTAGAGTTGATATTTAGTTGAGCTACTAACCTAAAAAGGGATTCCTTGAAAAGGGCTACTTTCAAGTTGCTAAATTTATAATTATTAAATAAGTATTGGGGATAAATTGCTAAATTTAGTTTATTTTAGGTCACAATTTTAAATTCGGGAAATTATGATGACGTTTATGCAAAAGATAGACTTTTCCCATTTTGGTGAGTAAGTGTCGGCCATAAAGTTAATTGGCTTGACCCCACCAGGATTAGGTCAGTGGTGGTGAACCAGTACACACGCGTCGTAGGGTATCAATCAAGTTTCTGTAGTTTGGTGAGTAGTGTCGGCCATAAAGTTTAATTGGGCCTTGACCCCACCAGGATTAGGTCAGTGGTGGTCCCACCAGGATTAGGTCAGTGGTGGTGAACCAGTACACACGCGTCGTAGGGTATCAATCAAGTTTCTGTAGAGGGTGGACACGTGGCAAAACTTCAGTCCGATAAGGACTCGTCACTGGGACCTACATATGTTCCTTCCATGCAAACGCTGGCCTAATCCACTATATTTTTGCCACGTGTTTTTGGATTTTCCTTTCCGCTCGCTCTCTAATCCTCTTGGGTTTGCAAGATGCCCACGTCTCACATGATAAATTAATGTTATCTTAGAGATGTCATTAATCAACTATAATACGCGGTAACTATAATACGCGGTTTAGTGATTAGAGAATAAAAATCAAACCTTCACAATGTTTTCTTTTCTTTTTTTTTTTTTTTCTTTTTCTACTTTTATGATAACTAATCTTTTTATCACTTTTATATTAGCACATTTTAATAAATTTAAATATTGAATAAAATTATTATGGATATAGTAAAATTATTAAAAATATGATTCATTTGAATTTTAATAAAATAAGAGTGTAATTATTATATAAAATTCGATATACATTCAAATGAAAAACCTTCAATAAAAATATGAAAATTTTAGTTGAACATTAAATACTCAAAATTTCCTTTCAAAATTAAAGAAATTTCGTGGGTATGGCCTTTGTTAACATTCTAATTAATAACTTATAAAATTAATTGACATAAAAAATATAGAATGTGATAATATAAAATTATATATTAAATAAAGAAAAAAAATTATATATCTAAGCTTTCATCTGAATACTTATTTAAATGCCTGTATAATATTGCCTGTATAATATTAAAAATATGTATTTCTGTATTTATAAAGACTCTTAAATAGGAAAAATCAAGACCTTAAAGATACATACTAATATATATTATATTTTTATGTGGGTGCTTTTTTTCTTGAATTTCAAATTTAAATCTATTGTCAAATACAGTTAGATTATGCCGATGTGCAAATATTAATTAATTTATTGCTCATCCAATGAGAAATCCACAAATATACTATTACCAATTTTGGAGCTATCCTATGATGTAACTGGGAGTGGTGGAATAAAATATGGAAAGGTGCTAGCAACCGTGACCTAATAGTATAATAAAAGTAATTTTTATCCAAAATTGCTGCCGTTAAATGAAAAACTTCAGCAATAATATGCAAAAATATTTTAGTATAAATGATAAAAATTAAAGAAATTTCGTTAACATAATTTCTGGCAAAAAAATTTTAAAAAATTAACGTAAAAACACAAAATATAAACTAGTTTGCTGTAAAAATATATCTTAATAGTTATATATAGAGATGAATTTAATATATCTAATAGTGATAATAAAAAATATATATATTAAAACAATAAGTAAAAAAAAAAAAAATTGCATACATATAAGAAAAAAAAAAATTGGCATACATATACTTAGGCTGATCTTTTCTTTGAATATAACTTGCTTTATACATGCATGATATTAAATATTCTATAGGAAGAACTAAGAATATAGTATTAGGGAAATATTTTATATTAATTAACAAAACTACAATATATTATGCAAAATACGTTAAATTTATGAAAGGCAAATGTGTTATGATAATTTTTAATATATTTAGGATTATTAAAAAAAGTTATTTAAACGCTCATGCATATGGCTAACTCCTCTTATTAATGTTATGAACGGACTTTATAGGGGTAGAATGCAAACTTAAAGATCTACATACTAATACAAGCAGATGCAAACTTAAAGATTACATACTATACATAATATATTTTTAAATAGGTTTAAATAGTAATTAATTTATTTTAAGCATTGCTTGTCCAATGAGAAATGCACAAATGTACTCTTCCCTAATTTTGGAGCTATCGTATGATGTAATTTTTTTTTTCTTTTCTTTTTTGTTTCTATCGTATGATGTAATTAGTAGCGGTGGAATATAACATATAGAAATGCTAGCAACCGACATTGATATTAATATTTAATACTTAATAATAGTATTCTCTTTCAATAATTATCATTTAATTAATCTATATTTATATTTAATTTAAAAATAAGTCATCTATAACTCTATGGTCTGACATCACTTATAGTCTCAAATCAGTTCTTATTCACCATTTGATTTGATAAAGATAATTTAAATCTACGTATCATATTAAATTCGATTCTCATGTACGAAATAAATACTCGCTAAAGCACTTTATTCTTTAGTGAAGCCAATTCAGGACGAGCAGATTTGATTCTAATTCAATACGCTGAGAAAACAGGTGATTAAGAAAAAAAAAAATGAGTAAGAACAAATAAACAATAAGTGTTCCAAAGAAAGAAAATGTAATTAAGAGATTGTAGCTAGCATTCTCCAAGTAACATGTGTCCACTGTTAAGTAATAAAGATTTGTGTCAAGTGTCTTAGAATGTATTGAGACTTAGGTGTGTGAGAGTGACCTATCGATGTAAATGAAAATGGCTTGCATAGTATTTTATTTTATGATTAAATAAAAATTATATAATAACATTAATTGATGCTAACATATCTCATTATCTCAATGTCTTTTATCTCCAAATGTTTTTTGGCGCCAATAAATGCCAAAAACCTTCATAGAAAGGGAATGTATTGAGACTTAGGTGTGTGAGAGTGACCTATCGATGTAAATGAAAATGGCTTGCATAGTATTTTATTTTATGATTAAATAAAATTATATAATAACATTAATTGATGTTAACATATCTCATTATCTCAATGTCTTTTTTGGCCAATAAAATCCAAAACCTTCACAGAGATGCTACTTTGATTATCTCATGGATAGATTGATTTTTTTAATAATATATTTGTTTATAAAAACGAAGAAAAAATAAATAAAAAAACAGATTTATTTTATATTATATCCATTAAATATCAATATCAATATTTAAAATCACATATTTTAAAATATGAATTGATTCCTTGTATTGAATGGATATATAGGAGATTTTAGTGTAGGCATTGGATTTTGAATTTGTATTGATTTAGTTGCTTGAATGAAAATGAAATTATATTCTTCTATTTTATTGTTTAAAATTCAAATATATCAGGGCTCTTATTTTTCCATTCTATCTATTTATTTTTGTTAAAAATATAAAAACACTATACTCTTAAATTATTCGAAAAGAAAATAATTTTTCGATTCACGTATAAAATGTAAATTGAGATTTCATTAAAATACATTAATGATAAATTGAAGTAATTTAAATCAATAAAATAAAAATACAATGAATAATGATAAGGAGTAGATGACCATAATAGACAAAAAGAATAACTATTGGAAAATATTATACACCCTTTAAATATACATAGACATAAATTTTAAACTAAAGTTTTTCGGTTGTCTTTTATTCTCCACGAAGTTACAAATTTTTATTTTTTTCTTAAGAATAAAATGAATTCGGTGAAACATTTACAAGTAAATAAATGAGGTGTCAAACATACATTGGACGACTTTTTTTTTTAAAAGGAATATTTTAATACTTGAGAAAAATGCACATCCTATATTATTGTGAAACATTTACAAGTAAATAAATGAGGTGTCAAACATACATTGGACGACTTTTTTTTTTAAAAGGAATATTTTAATACTTGAGAAAAATGCACATCCTATATTATTGGAGAAGGAGAGGAATCCAGAGAAGAACTAGATAGTCTCAGCCATCCAATGGGCCTCAAAGTTTTCCTCCTAGTTTGGCAGGCCTGTGTGTGTATAATAATAGTAAGAAAAAAAATAAATTTTTGCGTTGCTAGCGAAATTCCTATTAGGAAACTAATAACGAAACTAATACATGCATCTTGCGGTTCTAAAAGTTGATCTTTTGTCTGTCAATTTCTATAAAAAGATAAAAATAATCTTGTTTAAAGAAAAATATAAAATTTCTGAATCTCCAAATTATAGCAAAATTAATATATAAATCTATAAAATTAACACATATATCTAGTTGATCTTGATAAGTCATTAATATATTTATTAAACGAGTTTAATAGTTCAGCTCGAGTCAACTCGTTAAGCTTATCGAACAAATTCAAGCGAGCTTTTTTCAAACGGAGCCTCGAGCATTTCATAAGCAGATTGACTTATTTACAATAATACTCATAGCGAGACATTTTTAAGTCAATTTTAAATATAAAACCGATTAACACTTTAAAAAGAAGATTTCAAATTTAAAGTATCAACCGGATATCTAGTTTCAGTTGTATTTGAGGGGCATTAAGAATCGACAATCAAATATCAAATCCATAAAAAGGGACATATAAGGATGGCAGGGAGTAGATTACGCACTTAAAAATTAATGACATACCCTTAATTTTTAAAGGACTTCTTTTATACAAGTACAATATTACAAGTATGTAGTACAACATTAATACAATTACACTAAAAAACATAAAATACTCAAATCCACAAACCACGGAAAATCATAAATAATAACACAGTAAGAATGAAAATGGAACTAACAACATGATGGTCAGGATGTTAAGTAACCTCAACTCCCGTGTGGATAAAAACACAATTCCATTCCTGGAAAAACGCACTTTACTGGAAAGCTAAAAACGCACTAATTGAACGTTTAACATTGGTTGGCTGATAATTTTTGTTGAAAGGCCACAACACCTGCAATATATAATCCAAGTCAAAAACAGTCTACTCAAATTCAATTCAAAAACCTTAGCTAATACGTGACAAGTGTCCATTTTCTCTAACAAATAATATCAAAGGTTTAAATCAATAGTTTTTTTTTTTTCATGTTATACAACAAATATTTTTAGTAACATAATTATTCAAAATTTGAAAAATGATGTAGGAGACTATTAATATGTATAATGTCTTACCAGCAATCAAGCTGTTCCTTTGGTTCAGAGAAGCCCACCTGTAAACGCAATTCAACTAATTGAGGTTTTGACCTATTAATCCAGAGACATAAGAATTGTCAAATTAACATATATACAATAAGAATTGTCAAATTAACATATATACATACATAAAATATAATGTTCTCTTAAGAAATGGTAAATTTTCTAAGCATATTGTATTTTAATTTTAATTAGTTAAATATATGAAAAAAACATTTGACCACAAGTAAAATTATGTTTTTAGATGAAAAAAAAATTAAATAAGTTGATTAATAACACACTCTCTATATCATTCCAAAATACAAATCGTCTAAAATTTTTACTTGAAGATTGAGGCCGTCATTCCAAATTACCCTTTATTTCATATAATAATATCCTCACCTTGATATTGGGGGCAACTAATGATACGTAACTCAAGCGATGGTATGTCGTGCAAGTAGTTTGGAAAGTTCCTGAAGTTGTAACAATATGCAACTTTGATAACTTTTAAACCGGTATTAGATCTGTGAAGAAGCCATTGCGGAAAATCCACTAACTTTGGTAATCCTACAATCTCCAGTGTGCGAAGGCTAAATAATTGGCTTGTCGAGTCTTGACTATCTATTCCTTCCTCCATTGTCAAATCAAGATTTTTGCAACCCGCAACAACAAGAGTCTTCAAGAGTCTTCAAAGCAGCTAGAAATTTCACACTTGGTGGCAAAGAGACCAAGCTGTCACAATCACGGATAACCAAAGTTTGAAGTTTTTTCAGACCTTGGATATCTCCAAACAAATACTCCAAATTTTCACAAGTGGTGATGAACAAATATCGAAGAGACCCGAGGCACCCAATTCCACCATTTGGTAAATACCTTTGCTGTGTAGTTATCCAAAGCCATCTAAGGCTAATCAAGTACTTTATATCTTTAGGCAACTCTCTAAGACCATAACAATAACCAAGTACTAGAGCTTGCAAGCTTTGTAGTTTGCATATGGACTCAGGCAGTCTTTTGATGTCAACATTCCAATCCAAACTAAGATATTTCAAATGCTTCAATTTGGCTATCCCTTTAGGAAGTGCAGCCACCCTGGAACAACTCAAATCCAAGGCCCTCAAGTATTGGAATTTTGAGATGCATGTTCTAAGAAATACCTCACTACTAATCCCCATGCCTCTTCCATGTGAACAGGAAATAGTTCTTATACGATCTAGCTTTCTTACGGGCTTAACGATCTAGCTTTCTTACGGGCTTAGGAAGATCCTCAGGAAGCAATTCAGGGTAAGGAAATGATAAATGTCGAATACTTTTGGGTATCTGTTTGTTGGAAGAGGTTACTATTAAACATTCATTTTGAGTCACTGATAATGCTAGGTCGTGTATTAGATCATGCATTTTACAACATACATTACCATTGTATTCCAAGAAATCTTGGAAAAAACATCTAGAACACAGCTCTTGGAAACAACGGATGCCAACATCTTCCAACTCTTGATTTTCATTCGAAGATTGAATAAGTCCATGCGATATCCAAAAATAAACTAACTCTATATCTACAAATGGATGATCTTTCGGAAAAATCGAACAATAAGCAAAACATCTAGTAGGATGGCATGTGTTCATAACTCAATTTTAAAAGCAGGGCTAAAATATCATTTTCCTTTGCTCTAATTTCCATATCTCATTGCCCTTACAAATTTCCAATCCGTCACCAGCTACAGAGTAAAGTAAGGTTTTCCTAAAGTTATTACTTTGGCCAAAGCAAATTCCTTTGCATTTGCTCACGATTCTTCCCTCAAATTTTTATGAGGTCTGGGTTTTGTTATCTTCTGGTCCTCAAATGCACATAAAGAATTAAGCCAAATATAGCCAAACAATACTCATGAGAAAGATGGTCTAACTCATATGATGAGACTGTGCTCATGATTGAAGCAACATGCTTACTGCGTGTGGTGACCAAGATCTTACTTCCGCTAGCACCCCCCATCAATAAAATTTTCAATTCAAGCCATTTTCTTCTATCCTCATTCCAAACATCATCCAGTACGAGTAAATATCTCTTTCCATATAAAGCCTCTCGCAAGGCTATTTGCAATTGCTCAATATCCATATTCATATTAACTGGGCTTACACAGTTAAGGATCTTAATTATCATCTTCTGCAAATCAAAGTCTTCAGAGACACATGCCCATGATTTTGACTGAAAATGACTTGCTACCCTCTCATCATTATACACCAATTTAGCAAGTGTAGTCTTTCCCAGACCTCCAATTCCAACAATTGGAATAATGGAGACATTTTCATTATCAGCAGGTTTCAACAATTCTTTGATAATTCTTTCTTTATCTTTGTCCCTTCCTTCCAATGACATTGAAGCTCCACAAAGAGTGGGTCCATCCCTCTCTTTACGTATGACGATTAACTATCACTAGTCCGCTCAGTGAGACCAAAATCAGACTGAGAGCCTGTCAATTCCAGCAACTCTCTCCCTAACCTTCTTTAATTTATGGCCCTATTTGAAGCGGAAAGCAAGTGTTTAGAACCTAGAAAAGAATTCCGCGTACCTTTCCTCGTAGTGCTTTCCAAGGTAGTGCTTCCAGATTTCACCACTTGCCTGCGCAAAGCTTCACAGCGGAACTCATCAATCACATCTTCTGCATCATAAAGGACATCTTTAAGCTTTCCAAGCCAAAACTCTATCCGGTGATCCTGGGATTGACGCTTCTCTGCATCAGAAAGCACAGCTTTGATAGCAAGTAACATTTCTTTAATTTTTTCAAGGTCATCTTCAATCCCCCATGCCAATAAAAATTCTTCAAGAGCAAGAGAGGCCAATTTCTCCAAAATGCTCTCTGCAGTATTGAACAGAAAAGACTCTGGCATTGTTTTCACTTGGAAGTGAGTGAGTCAATGATTTAATGAATAATGGTTAATATACAAATGGAAATATTATATAGCAAGCCAAAGAAGACAGGTTCTAACTTCTAATATTCCATTTCTTTGCTCTGCAAACTGGGTAAACGCTAAGTCCACAGGAAATGGGAACACTCAGAAAAGAAAAGAGGAATAAAAGAGACAAGCTAAAGTCTCTGGGCGTGCGACACCTGTCTAATTAAGATTATCGAAAAATCTTTATTTAATACTAACAATAAAAAATAATAATAATAAAGTTTCTAATTATAAAAAAATGTCAAAACTAATTATAAAAAAATGTCAAAATAATTAGATTTAGAGACTACTTTTTATAAATTCATTGCTTAAAATATAAAAAATAGTTGCTCAAAAATATCATTTGATGGTAGCCCCATTCCCTCTAACAAGAAATATACTTTCATCTTGACCCGTTGAATTACTTGATTCTATAACTCAGATAATATTGATATTTTCAACTGTTAAATTCCTTAAATAAACAAATGCTTAATTAATATCATAAAATGATCTTAATTTTTTATAAATTTTTTTTTATAAAATGATTTTTTTATAAAAATCATATATTAATTAATATTATAAAATGATCTTAATTAATATCATATATTAAAACATTTATAGATTTGAGCTATACAAATTGAAATATGTATTGATTTAAATTTTCAAAAGATTATTATTGGTGTTTCACACATTATGCAATTTATAAAACACGTAATGAGATAATTAAAAGTTTTCATTATTTTTTTTAGTTAATAGTGCTAAATTAACTAAATACATTTTTGAGATTATAAATGTTAAATCCGACGTGTTAAGTTATATGTCGTCCTACTCAGCTATATTTTGAACATTAAGTGGGTCTCATGAGTCTTATTTTTATTTTCAGCAAGCCACATAAAATAAAAACATCTAATTGAAAAAAAATTTATCTAGTCAGAAACTTGATTGCAAACATTTTCCATTGAGACAATGAATAAAATTCTTTCAAAAATTTAGAAACTAAATTTGCAATTAACCCATTTTAAAATATTCAAATTAGTACATATTTATGAACTAAAAATCATTAGTCAAGTTAAAGACGGCTACAATATACTTCATATATAGTTTTCGTCCATTCCATAATTAATTAATTAATTTTTTTTAACAAATTATACAGGTTAATTCTAATTATAGTCTTAAATGCCTAAAAATACATTGAAGAATCATCAACTAAATTGATATAAAATGTTAATCTGATTTTTTAATTATTTTAAACAAATTCAAAGATTTGATAAGCTTTAATCTTTTTAATCAAATTCAAAGAATCAAAATATTAAATTTAATCTTTTTAATCATTTTTAACTTTATTCCTAAAATAAAATAACAACAATAAAACCCTCAAGATTTGATAATTATTTTAAACAAATTCAAAGATTTAATTGACTCAAAATATTAAATTTAATCTTTTTAATCATTTTTAACTTTATTCCTAAAATAAAATAACAACAATAAAACCCTCAAGATTTGATAAGCTTATGTTAGTTAATCTACCGACTAAAACCTGCAAATTGCAATTATAGCCATTCCACGGCTAATAGCGCAACCGCCTCTACCTATTTCTTTGCCCCAAGCCTAGTACAAGTAAAAGCGTTTTGAGCTCTGCATAAAAAGGTACTCCCTCTGTTACAGTACATTCCCTTTCGTTGCTGAATGCTGAATTTTGTTATCTTAGAGTAATTTTATTGTTGGTTTTGAAATGTTATTGAATTTTGAATTTTGTTTCTTGCTGTTTGTCAATACAACCACAACCTAGCCTTAAGAAAAAAAAAAATCTTATGTGAGTTTTGATTAATCATTGACCTAAGTTTTGATCCTAATTTATTTGGATATACTTGTTGCAAAGATTTATGGTCTGAGTTCGTTAACTAAAAAGTTAAAGACTTTGGTGTATATTGGATTTGGATTCTTGTTAATTAGTTCAGTTATCTACTACATCTACTATGATATGCCAATGCGTGAATGCGAATCGACTTGTATATTGATGTGTCATTGTTGAGCTTGCAAATTTAGGACAGCAACATTGTAGAAATTCGCCTTGCTTATTGAGATTACGGGTCTAATCTTTAATCATAAC